CCAGGAAGAAAATGAGAAATCTCCAACGAGGCGTTTTGGGGAGGTCTTTTCTGTGTTAGAGTTTTACTCGCTACAGGGTGTACTTTCAGGGTTTTTTACTCTGCAGACCGTTTACATGCATAAAAACCTTCATAACACACAAGGGGACGGGTAATAACCGGAAAAGCATGACATGGGACCTTTAAGTAAAAAGTACCCATAACTAGCAGCTGTTTTAAAGAGTACCTGACCTCCCTTTATATGAATAGAACAATAATGTCATTGTTAGCTAATGAATGTTTCCATGCTGAACAACGGCAACATGACAACGTTTTCATTGGTCCCTCTTCTTTAGAGAAGACCAGGAAATGATGGATACACGGATCGTGTTCAAATCAATAGGCACGCAATGACTCTAAATAATAATGATCACGCCACCAAACACACATTCAAACTAAAGGAACCAGCCTGTTTGGAAAATGTGAGAAGTAGAAAGTACAGGTATTTGTGTTCAACATGTAAGAAGTAGAAAGTACAGGTATTTGTGTTCAAAATGTAAGAAGTAGAAAGTACAGGTATTTGGGTTCAACATGTAAGAAGTAGAAAGTACAGGTATTTGTGTTCAAAATGTAAGAAGTAGAAAGTACAGGTATTTGTGTTCAACATGTAAGAAGTAGAAAGTACAGGTATTTGTGTTCAAAATGTAAGAAGTAAAAGTCGTCAGAAAAACGTGTGTGTGCGTGTGCGTGTGCGTGTGTGTGTGTGTGTACAGTCCCACAGTTCACACATGTGTGAGGTGGAAAAACACACCTCCCTGCCACATAAAAAGGCATTTGGAGACACACACATGTTCCAGTTTACCTTCACTGGACGGTCATCTGGCCGAGACACACAACTATTTACAATCTACTGTAAAATCCATTAAAAAAGCACAGACTAATGAAGACTTTTGACAGCATTCAGCAAGCGAAAGTCTAGTGGTTAAGTCTTTACAAAGCCAAGAGTAAAAAGCAGGGTTTACTGTGGGGAGAGCCTGCAAAAGACAACAAGGCAGAATGGGTTTTACCACTTTTCTCTGTGTTGCCCTCATAAAAGACAATTTCCTGAGCGCTGAGCTTTGTGTGTTTTATTTCTGAATGAAAACAGGCACCTTTAGGCCCTGAGGCTACAGAGAAACAGATCAACCTGATGGGCAGGGAGAGCACTTCCTCCTCTTGCGACCTGTTTGAGGGAATTCCTTTTGGAAGAATGGCAAGCTGGCAATTTCAATTGTAAGTCTTGAAGGTGTAATATGCATAATTCCTGATTTCAAATATCTCAAAACAACAAGACATGTGTGCTTTTGGTTCAGTTTCGTAGCGAGAAATCAAAGAAAGGTTATGCTCTTATGTGATAATGGTTTTCGGTGCTGCAACATCATGGTTCAATCTCTTTCTTTTGGAAGAAAGACAAGCGGTCAATTGAAAATCCTTGTGAGTTTGAAAGTACAATATGTGAAATTCCTGATTTAAAAAAGGTCTAAAAACAACAAAACCTATACTATTTATTTTGTTCAGTTGTGTAGAAAACAAATTGTAACAAAACAAATCTGTAATTTAACGAGAGGTTATGGCGTATTTTATTTTGCCGTCTGTAATGGAGGCATATCACCTTTCTGAGAAACACTATCTTTGACACATGACACTTCTTTATAGTTGTGCTGGTTTTAATCTCCAGCTTTTAGAGAGGAGACCTCAGAGGATCATTTGGCTTCCAGTAAAAGAAACGCCTAACTGATGAACAATCAAGAAATTCTAACAGTTGACTGTGACGACAGCAACGATGAGGAAAACCACAACTCTATGATCACATGCTACTTCAAAACTGTCTTTAGTTATTGTTCTGGATCCATGTGTTAGCAAAAACAATGAAGTGCATTTAACTCCACCTTCATATTACCATGAAACAGATGAAATATCACATTCACTCGGTCAGTTGGACTCCATCATGTCAGCAGACGTCACCAATCACTAAGCATGTGAACATATTGATCCATTGCTTGATGGATGTGAGAAGCCAGCCGTGAGAAACCATCGATTTCAGAGTTTGATTTAGTACGAAGCCACAGCTGTCCGTCTTAAAGCAGCACAGTGTCGCACTTTCACCGTAATGTCTGGCCTCGAGCAAATACCTTGCTGTTAAAAGGTCTTTCTTTAATGTGCAACAACTGTATTTAAAGGTCACCTATTATACTAAATCCACTTGTTCACGTCTTTTCTACATCAACATGTGTCCCCTCTTCCTCATGTCTCTTCTACATCAACATGTGTCCCCTCTTCTTCATGTCTCTTCTACATCAACATGTGTCCCCTCTTCTTCATGTCTCTTCTACATCAACATGTGTCCCCTCTTCTTCATGTCTCTTCTACATCAACATGTGTCCCCTCTTCTTCATGTCTCTTCTACATCAACATGTGTCCCCTCTTCCTCATGTCTCTTCTACATCAACATGTGTCCCCTCTTCTTCATGTCTCTTCTACATCAACATGTGTCCCCTCTTCTTCATGTCTCTTCTACATCAACATGTGTCCCCTCTTCTTCATGTCTCTTCTACATCAACATGTGTCCCCTCTTCTTCATGTCTCTTCTACATCAACATGTGTCCCCTCTTCTTCATGTCTCTTCTACATCAACATGTGTCCCCTCTTCTTCATGTCTCTTCTACATCAACATGTGTCCCCTCTTCTTCATGTCTCTTCTACATCAACATGTGTCCCCTCTTCTTCATGTCTCTTCTACATCAACATGTGTCCCCTCTTCTTCATGTCTCTTCTACATCAACATGTGTCCCCTCTGTGGAAAGAGACTCTGAAAGTTTCAGGAACAAAGATTCTCTCTCTTTTTGTCCTGATCCATTTTTATAAAAACCTGTCTGAAAATGAGCTGATCAGATTTTGGCCTCTTTATGATGTCATAACGATGTTTTGTCTTGTGTAACCATTAGCCAATCACCAACTAAGGTAACCCCCCCCCCCTCCACCTTATCACCTGAATCTCCTCCTAGAGCACCATTGTGTTCTTTTTAACCAAATATCTCTCAGAGGGGCTCCTTATTTTCATTTAAAGGTAGGGACACACCAAGCTGACACCAAAGAACTGACACCGACGGACCCGACTGTTGTGTCGCCTCACGTCTCTGCGTCTTGGCCAACAGTCGCACTGGAACACACCACAAAGACTTCAGCCGACGGCCAAGTAGCACGTACTCACTGCGCATGCGTGAGTGGCAATAACTCTCCTTACCAGCAGGCGGCGGTAGTGTGTATTCGTCATTCAAAAGAGGCAACAACCGGAAGACAGACTGCGTGATACACCGAGAGAAGAAGAACAGACTGCGTGATATAAACAAATAACAAATAGCGTGCGTTCCATTTTCACTCTACAGCGAGAAGCTCATGGGGCTTTCCCGAACCTGTGTCGAGAGCTGGAGTTAAATGAAATCTCAGATTTGCCTTCTTAATCGTTTGTTTGGGTCCCTCTCTTCCGTTTCGCTTCTCATGCACTGATTCGCTAGCTGAACAGCCAATCAGAGTGATTTATTTGACCGACAGCCTTTGGCCGATTGGTTTTCGGCCAATCTGAGTAGGGCGACAGGACGCTCATCGTTGGCCTTGACATCCATCGACGGCCAAAATCGGCTTGGTGTGTCTCGGGCTTTAAGTAACAGACAGAGAATCAGCACTTTTGAAACAGGGCTGAAACAGAGGGGATTATGGGATGCTGCAATGATCTGTTTGGTGTTTCAGCCAATCAGAGACATGTTCTGTATATATCTGAGACCTGTGATATATTGATGAAAAACAGTATAATAGGGGACCTTTAACGTTGACTTTAACTCACTCACTGCTGGTATGCTATCCAGGAAACTGATCCGTGGTAATGAGAACTACTTTCTGCTAACACATGAAATGTTGTTAGCTTGTTTAGCCCTGAGCTAACACCCCAGTGTAAACAGTGTGTGTGCCGACACAGTGAAGTAGAGAGAGAGAGAGTCAAGTGCATGTTATAATGGTCAGTGTAATGGATGGGAAAAACACACAAATCTGAGTGCTTATTCTTGCATCCAATTGTCGAAATGTGGGCGGATATAAACATCAAATGGAAATGTGGTCAAATCAAGATTCCAGTAAAGCTTGGCAGATACAATCAAAAGAATGTGGGGTAGTGGCTGGCCTAATAATGACACTCAGATATAATGGAGCGTATTTATATCATATTCCTATCTGCTGCTGTATGTAGGGCAGAATGGCATCATGTGATGGAAGAGGGAAAATGAGAAAACGGATGGTTTCTCTCCTTTATCTGAGACACATGCACAGGTGTTGATGTTATCTCTGACACTAACAACTGTTCTCAGGGGCTAACAGTTAATACATCAAATGTAAAAGATTGTTTTTAGGATTTATAAGCCACAAAGACTAAGTCAATTCTTTCTAAAAAATGAAAAATAAGATCTGTAGTAAGTCTAACATTCATGAATCTAAATGGGTGTGTGTGTGTGTTTCTGTGCAAGCGCGTGTTGTGTGCGTGAGGGAGTTGGCGTGCGTGTGTGTGCGTGTGCGTGTGTGTGTGTGTGTGTGTGTGTGTGAGTGAAAGTGAAACATTTAGTTTCACTTTATATAGTTACACTTTAAATAGTTTGTTGACATCCTCTAAAGTCTAAACTACCAATAAATATATATCAGCCTATCACTGACTACAAGAAAAACTGGTTGAACTACATTTCCTAGATAGACAAAAGACTGCATCTCTGTCTGTGGTCATAAACTAATAAACTGAAGCATGTTAAAGGACATTTATTATATATAAGTGTACAAGAAGTTACCATCAGAGTGTAAATACCAAACAAGTGTCAGTCAGAACTCACGAGTTGACTCATAAACACATGACACAAACAATGCACTTTGCAGTATCTTCTAAGCATGCATTTTACCTAGAATTACAGGTCATATTTTCATCAGTATTCACCTTTATTGTCTTACCTTTATCTTTTCTGTCATGGTGAATGTCAGCTCGTGAATGAAGGGGTTTCTGCCCACTGTGGAGGCGCGACTGTTTACTGCCTTCATTTCGGACGAGCGGAAGTTAAACCTTAAAAAGAATAAGAAATAAAAGTCCAAAATGTCCCGTAACGTTGGAAGAAGGGTATGTAGTTCTTTTTTGCAGAAAGCACGTTTCTCCTCCTCGGTTTTACTCCCCTCTCTCTGCCCAGAGAGACTGATGCGGTCGGGCGGGGACGACACGAGAGAGAGAGAGAGAGAGAGAGAGAGAGAGAGAGAGGAGGAAACGTGACTTCCGGTTGGAGATTTCAAAATGAAGCTCAAATTGTGTTGAAATTGTTTTTATTTTTGTAATACTTTTTTTATTGTCATTTTTGTAAACATTTAGACACAACATACATACATACACTCGCATACGTACTCAAATGTGTTCAGAATAGTTACTGCACATGGGCATTGGACCATTCAGGCTCTTTTAAATGTTATTAAAAAATGTGGTAATGTGTATGGAGGAGGATTAGGGCTACATGAGAAAAAACAATATAATTTTGAGATTAAAGTCAGAATTCTGAGATAAAAACAATTAATAATAATCTCAATGAAAATTATCAAAAAGATTATTTGCAGAAAAAAATGTCAGATTGATTTTCTTTCAAAATAAAGCTCCAACTACGGGGGAAAGGCATTTTAACCCAAATACATCTTTGTATGTTACAAGAAGGATTAAGGCCAATATGAGAATACAAACTAATATGTTATTTTGACAGAATTCTGAGATTTTCCACACAAAAAAATCCGATTGATTTTTTTTTTCTCACTATTTTTATTGTTCGAAGAATTTTGAGGTTAAAGTCAGAATAAAAAAATGTATTTGGTCACATCCTCAAAAAAAGCATAATTTGGCCCTAACCGTGTGGTGAAATAAAAAAAGTAAAAACAGATAATTTGAAGAGTTGAAGTGCCTATTTGTATATACAGTCTAACTGCCCAAAATGTTGTTGAGCATGAATAGTAAAAACCCTTTATGTGCTTCATTTCTAAAATGGGTTATATCACTTGGAAAATGTGTTTTATTTTGAAATAGGCAAAGCATTAAGCTGATAGGTCAACTCAAGCATTTGCGAGTAGTCGTGTTTGAGCCTTTATTTTGAAGGCAAGAAAGCGCGGTGGCACATGCATAGTCTCGAAGCACATGCACGTGTCATTTATGCAATTAAGGACCCAAAACAAAACAACTGTATGATGAAATTAACCTGTTCAACTCATAACATATATAACAATAAGTTATGGACTGACAGGTCACTGTTAACTCACAAATATGGGTAACACTTTATATTAAAGGTGGGGTAGGTAATTCACTTCAGAAACACTTGTTATATTCCATGGAATGCTCTTAACATCGCGATAGCAATGAATACATTAAATTAGTGATGTGTCGGTAGCGAACGAGCCGATTCTTTTGAACGGCTCTTTGGTACGAACGAGGGGAACCGAGTCCTACTTGGTGAGAGCCGTTCTTGTTATCGTTCAATCGTTGGTCCGCACTCACTGCCTGCCAAAATGCACTCGCCTTTTAAAAAGCTTGATTTTGTTCCCCAAACGTATTCTGTGAAGACCCGCCCCTACTCTGTTTGGTAGGTTTCAACACGAGGAGTGAGATGGGGTGGGTCTTAACGGAATACGCGAGAGAGAGAAGTCATAACAAGTGGTACAGGACAGGTAGACAACGTGTTTTTCGGATGGAAAATGAGCCAAACGCGAAAACGCAGCAGCATTTGGATTCACTTCAACCAAAACCCAGGCAGTGATAAAGCGCACCATTTGTAAAGGCAAAATATCCTTTAAAGCAGGATCAACAAATAATCTCCATCGCCACTTAAAAACACAGTATCTAATATTAAGAGTTGCATGAATTTCATTCAAGGCAAGGCAACTTTATTTACTTAACACATACAGAGGGTAAATTCAAAGTACATTCACTGACATGATGACATGGATATGGCGCCACCTTGTGTCATGTTTACAATGCCGATTATTGACATTAGGTCTGGCAATACAGTCAATCATTATCCTGGTGATTATTTTGCAGATAAACCTAGTAACCTTAAAAAAACGGCTCTTTTGAACGGCTCTTTGAAAGGAACGGAGCCATAAGATCCGGCTCCCTTCAAAGAGCCATAATTCCCATCACTACATTAAATGCTTTGACAATAAATACATTAAAACAATTCATCTGTGGAAGCCGTGGTGCTGTAAAAAGCACGACCAATCATCTGAGCCGGCCCGGCTAAAATAACTGGATGGCCTACCTGCCTGTCAGCCTTCCATCTCGTGCACAAACTTATCTCATGCCCTCATTGGTCATGTGCGCGTTCGTGTCATGGATGTATAATAAGAACTGGATACAGCGTGGGAAGCGGGGCCTCGTTCATTCCTATGAGAGTTGCTCATTGGCGCATGAAGACAAAATGGCCCAACTTCTGAGAGAGCGAAACGTCACGAAAGTATTCATATAATCATATCATCCGTTCTTATTGTGCATCCATTGGTAAAGGTAAAACTCATGTAGTACTGAACACGTCACATGAACGTGCCGGGCGGCGCGGTCCCGTGGGTTAGATGCGCGTTCATAATGCCGAGGCAAATAACTCTCAGAATAACGTTATTAGCACATTTTACAATTTGAGGACCGAATGTTTTAATAAGGGCTATACAAATGTTCAAACTGGGTAGTTTATTTAGTTTAAAAAAAATTATCCAACGATTTACAGACGTCTCTTTCCCAATGTTAGTCAATGGGAGAATGTGTTTCTGGGCCCAGGGACTGATACGGAAGTGTAGTACCGCCGTTTGGCCACAACGAATATGTTCCTCAGAGTCCGGCGCACTTCCTCGGGGCTTGGTTCGTGTGTGTTGGAGGAGGGGCTCTGTAAGGAAGTCTGAAGGAAGGGGCAGATTTTTTTCGGCTGCGTACTTTCAAATTCTAGCGCACTCAAGCTGGTTTCTCCATTCTTACCTACCCTACCTTTAAGGTACACAAATTCACCATCAACTAGTTGTTAATTAACATGCATATTAGCAGTATATTGGCTCTTTATTAGTCATTATAAAACTCTTATTAATGCCTTATTCTACATGACCATATTCTACAAGTAATAAGCCATTAGTTGAGAGTTTTTCCTCAATAACCCTCTAATTAGTGCTGATTTATTGCAAGTAAGGAAGTTGTTGAACATGAGTTTTGGTCTTAATATGCTCTGCTCAATATGGGCCTAATAAGGCAGTAGTACCACAAGAATAGTAATTCTCCCATAATTACACTTAACAAATATTGTCTATTCTTATATAACAAGACATGAAACTACAAGTGTTAATTGTGTCAAAATAACTCAAAATGTGGTATTTCAAACTCAGAATATGTTCCCTATTTTAAAGTGAAGTCTTGTTCATAACAAACAAGCTAGTAGTTTGACTCTATATGCATGTTGTTATTTATCTTCCTTACCCCAGAAAAATAGCTATATAAATAACATGTATTATTACTATTATTATGTTAATTAACAACTAGTTGATGGTGAATAAGTTTACCTTAATATAAAGTGTTACCCAAATATGATATCGTCCTTTTTTATGAAAACCTGCACATTTTGATGTAAGGTTGACATCTGGAATATTAAAACAATCTTCTAAGCTTCACTGACAAACACTCATATTACACACACTGATAAAAACGGAAGATGTTTGTGGAGTGTGTGTTTGAGATGTTCGGGTTGATCTGCCTTCTTCAGTGAGATGTAGGCCCAATCCCAAACCACGCCCTACACACTCCCCCTCCGTGACGCAGTGAACTCCGTGGAGTGACACTCGCAGCTCAACGAGGCTCCCTCCTGTCAGATGGAGGGAGTAAATACAGCGGCAAGCTTTGGGACAAACTCCCCTCTCTCCGGCAGAAACAGGAAATGCCGTAACTGTATGTAACAACGGTTTCAAATCAGCATCTCTTAGACAAAACATGTAAATTAATAACTCAAATAAAACTCCAAACATCTTTAATTGTGTTACTTTTTTGTAAAGCTCTTTTAGTTTTAAACCTGATTTTTATAAGCTTCTTAGTTTTTGCAACAGTCTGTAAATATACAAAACTTTATAATAAAATGCACACATTTACCTTTTTCTAGACTAAACACAGGTACGATCCTAAGTTAAACAAATATGAGGTTATCATGAGGTTGTTTACATCGCAGTTTATCAGTGGATGTTTGCTGGAACTGTTTGTAAACAGCGTGTTTCCTGACGGACACACACAGCGTAGAGACTGGTCTCCAGTCAGCACCGATGCAGACTGGAGCCTCGGTTGCGTTCGAATACTCCAAAAAAACAGCTCCTAAGTTCTAACCCTATCGTCTATTCCTTGACCTCGGAGTGAAACGTCATGGGGTTAAGGGATAGTGGATAGGAGAATTCAAAAGGATTTAGGAGAAGAGACTGCGGCACTTTAGAGAATCCGACTGCACTTTCACTATCCGACGTGTTTATGATGCGCCAGCAGAGGTCATAAATGTGCGCCTGCTGCTGTGGGGAAACTATGGAAACTACAGTTTTCTATACAGCGGACTACAACATGGATGTTTAATAAGAACGAGGGACTACTGTAAACTCATCTAGAGACTCTGCACCGTGCTCTGGTGCTGTTGTTTTATGCTTTATGAACGGGGACAACAGAGAAACATATTCTTCATGACCAAAGTTGGAATTGAAATAAAAAAGGAAAGTGAAACTTATGCTCGTCACCCTCTCCCTCCGGTCCACATTAATACAAATGATCCCAATACATATGATTGTATGAAAAGATCTTAAAATCAATACAAATGTATTTATTATAAACGTTAGTCCTTAACATCTCACTGTGTATATCACCATTCAAACATCTTTTAAAAGTTGAACAAACCCCACACAGCTCAGTAAAGACTGTGAAATGTTGACTTTATTTGATCATTTCAGTAAAAACTAACGTTCATATTTCTCTTTTTGATTATAATACTGATGAACGTTCAAAACAAAGCACTTTGGCAACTTACCACATACGTTTTAAAATGCTTAATAAGCACCGTAACTTTCATGATATCATTTCTCGTTCATAATCGGTTGTTTCCGTGAACGGCCGACTGTTGTGTGACGGCAAATGCTGCGGCCGCAAGGCATTGTGGGGCAGCATTTTCTCCTCTCCTTT